TATAGGGTTAGTTCACGTAGGTTATCAGCCGTCATTAGGCGGTTTAAGATACTGGGTGACGAGACCACGCTAAATAAGTACCGAGCTCGGAGCAGTAGCCATGGACCCGTTGATACGAGCCCGTCGTGGCACTGGGTCCAGAGAGGTGGATGAGGCCAGTGCGGCCTACGATGTGGAATACCAAGCAGCCTTGAGCCAAGCGGAAGCTAGTGCAGTTTCTGGGGGCAATGCCAGTGGGGTGTTGGCCCGTGGCTTGGTTCCTGGAGAGGCATCTCCCGGGACCTTAGAGATGGGGGAAGCGAGAGCGGATATGGGACCGCGAGCAAACCCCTTCCACAGCGAGCGAGTGAAAGCAGAAGTTGAGCTGATGCGGCACAGGCCGACAACCCTGGATGACGACGCTCGACGACTGCAAGGGGAGCATGATGAGACGGCACTGGGGGATACTAAGCTTAACTCTCTGCAGGAGCCAGACTACGCACAGATGAAGGGAGGTCCAGAGGCCCCTAGGGTAGCACGGGTAGAGCCTACTGAGGAGGCTACTGGTGTTGCCATGGGGCCTGGGAGCGGTTTTGAGCGATTCACTGCCGGTGAGCCGGCAGTACAACAACCGCTCAAGGAACAAGTTCCTGGTGCGACGTCTGGAGGCGGCGAGTTAGATAAGCAAGTCCCGGGTGTTGAGGAGATGGACTCTGGAGCCTATCGTTTGGGAGATGATCAGCGGGAGCTTATTCCTGACGAGGGGGATAGATGGGGTAGGATGGAGGCGTTGCTGGTGCAGATGATGGAAGAGAATAAAGGTCTGAAGAGAAGGCTGGAGTTGACGGAGCGCGAAAGTCGTTCGCACTCCAGCTGGCACAGTGGCCTGGCACCAGATTTCTCTCCGGCAACTTTTGGTCATCGTCCTGAGATGAGTGTACAGAAGTTTGCACCTCCCGATTTCCCGAGTCAAGAAGCTGTGAACTTTATGGGTGCGGGGTTTATGGATTTAGGTGGTAGAGGGGATAGGGTCTTCCCAGGGAACCTACAGTCTTGGGTTGGAGCAAGGCTAGAGGGGCCCCCGGAGGTAGGACCACCAGGTTTCGAAGGGCTCTATCCTAGGAGACTCCCACCTCTTCCTTTGCCCCCAGCCCCGGTAGTGTCTGAAGGACAGCCTCCAGGCCCTCAAACGATGCGGCAGTTTACGGAAGAAGCCAGACAGTTAGGGATTGGTTTAGGAGGGGGCCAAGGGTTCCATACGCCTAGAAGTGGGTTGGGTTCAGGTGGGAGGTTTGATGCGGAAGGGTATCCTATTTCTCCTGGGGGTACGGTTATCCGACCCCCGCCCATTCCACCGGCGGCCACGGCAGCGCCTGCGGCTGCGGCTCCTCTGATAGGTGCGCCCGTAGGAATCGGGGGCTATGGGGTAGGGCCTGGGGATTTCCCTCGACCGGAGGAGCCGGCTCGATATATCTCAGAACTTCCTAAGCTAACTCAGGCTAGTTTGTCTGATAGTGCCATTATCTGCGGTAATTGGGTAGCTCAAATAAGGCAGGTTTTTCAAGGGATGTCGGCCACTTCGGATATTTGGTTCGGAGCTGTGGAAAGGGCTGCTGTTGAGGGTTACAACCGTTGGTTGGTAGCGGACCCGCTAGGCAGGTTGGCTCTAGATCCTTCTTCGATAACCGCGGTTTATGATGTGGTTAAGTACCAGCGTGTAGAGAGCAGGGCGGTAAGCTTGCTGCTAGCGGCCCTTCCGGTGAATGTTAAGGAGGACGTCGTGGTTAACAGGTGGTTGACTACGTCGGCCATTTTGTTCAGGGTGCTATGCCTTTACCAACCAGGGGGTAGTTCGGAAAGGGCCCATCTTCTGAGTCAATTGGTTACCCCAGAGCCTTGTAAGACCTTCCCTGACGCAGTTCGTATCCTTCGTAAGTGGCAGCAGAGCTTGCATCGTGCAGCGGAGGTAGGTGCATCGTTACCAGATGCCTCATTACTCCTGAAAGGAGTGGACGGAGCTATGGCTACGCTTCTGGGTTCGAATCCCATGGTAGGGTTTAGGGTTAACTCTTTCCGGCACGGTGTGGGTCTAGACTACAACCCTACCACTACTGGGGTTACGCAGCTGGTAAGGTTGTTGCAGTCGGAATGCGAAGCCGTAGCTCTGATTGAGACACCTGCTGGGAGTGACCGTCGTTCAAAGGCAGCAGCCTTGCAAGCTTCAAAGGAGCAAACCGCTGTTAAGGCTCCGGCACCCCCGCCGGCCCCTCCTAATCCCAATTCTGGAGCCTCAGTAGCAGCTGCTGGGGTGAGTGCGAATGAAGGGAAAGGGAAGGGCAAGGGGAAGGGTAAGGCTAAAGGGATTGATGGAGAGGCTCCTAGCTGTTACAAGTTTAGCGATGCCACTGGATGTAGGTTTGGGGATTCGTGCGTGTTTCGTCACGACAGGGCAACGGCGAGACGTGAGGGTAGATGTTTGGCTTGCGGTCAGAAGGATCACTTTAGGCCTAATTGCCCTTTGGTTGCCCCTGAGAACCGGGTAGTTACGGGGGATTCCGGGTCGGAGAATTCTCCTAAGGCGCCTAGTGCAGGTAAAGGGGGAGCAAAGTCCAAGGCAAAGGCGAAGGAAGGTGCCCAGGCTAAGGGGGTAACGGAGGATTCGGGGATAAGGGACGATTCAGCTTCGGGTAGTTCTAATCCGGCTGTGGCCAGTGCTAGTGCAGCAGCGACCCAGGAAGCGTTAGTTGCGGAGGCTACGAAGCTTCTTAAAGGGGTGTCTCTGCGTGCGTTGCGGTTGGACTGTGAGGTTGACCTTACCTGGGTTAGGAGTGCCCTGACTAGCGCATCGGACTTAGAGTATTGTTTGATTGATAGTGGGGCCACTAATGCCCTTAGGCCTGCTGGCTCGTTGGAACTTGAGGCCGGGAGGGTAATTCAGGTGGATTTGGCTTCCGGGACCACGGAGTTGAGGATAAACAGCTTCGGAACGCTTCTGCATGGAGGGCCGTGTCAGGTTATATTGCCGGCGAGCTACCTGGTAGAGCTAGGGTACCTTATCTCGTGGCGAAAGAAGGGGTGTGTGGTGAGACATCCTAAGCGGGGTGCGTTGGAGGTTCAGGTAGTTAAGGGGTGTCCTCTTATCCCTAAGGCGGTTGGGCTAGAGCTCCTGGACAGATATGAGGATTTGAAGTCCCATAAGGCCGTGTTGAGCAAGGCCGAGGTAGATGACCTTGGAAAGACGCTCACGGCAGGGGCTTCTAGGGCTTGGCTACGGGATAGGCTTGAGTCTAAAGGGGGCGAGGGTCTTTCTGAAGTAGACCAGCTAGTTTATCTAAAAGGGGTTTTTCCTACGGTGCCACTGC